GGGGGCAAAGGGGCCGCGGCCGGCTGCCTTTCAGGCGTCCTTCGGGTGCTGTTAAATTAAATGCTAAAAGGGAAAAAACACGGAGAGCCCTTGCTGTCTCCTCCAGCCGGTGGGCAGGGAAAGGAGAGAGCAGCAACGCTGATCGGTGCAAGCCTCGTAAGAAGCGAAAGAGAAAAATCTTGGCCCAGCAGCCAGTCGGTCATCCCCACCCCGATCTGGAAACTGCCCTAGTAAATGTTAATCTAGACCCCTCAAAAAAAAAAAAAAACCTTAACCCTAAACAACGTTCCTTGCACAATACTCAACTGCACAGATGCTCATGCCAGCGTACAGGAGTGGGTGGTAGAGAGGTGGGAGTGAGCGGCAAGGATGGGTCAAGACTATTCCTTTCGGAATCTTTGAGCACTAGCAAAAGTACAAAAGAGTAATCCTGACATGTACAGCAGAAAAACTATCCTGAAATGAGATCAGTGGAATGGGGCATAGCAAACCCCGTTAACTCTCCTTGCAGTACTTGGGTTTCGTAGTGAAGTCTTTAATGTAAATAATGCGACCCGCTTTTCTGTTTCAAGTAGAGATCATTGTTTGGTTTATTCAGTGAGCATAACTGAAGAATTGTAATAACTTGTTCGTGATAGTCTTGGAATCTTGCAAAATGTAGTAAAGATGGATTAATTGGGGGGGGATGACTGAAAATATTGGCAGAGCAAGGATGGTAAAAGCCAAAGAGAATTATAGCTGGAGAAGTAGGACAAGGAGTCATGAGGTGCCTAAACAATAAAAATCTCACAAAATGCAAAAACACCCTTGAGACTTCATCACAGAACAATACAGAAAGATGGAAGCAGTCCATCTGACTCCGTCAGAGTCCTTTCGACATTAAATGAAACTTCATTGGCACTAGCCACATGTTGACTGTAGTGACCACGCCTCCATCGGTTAAAATTGCCATGAAGAATGCACGATCATCTGTAAGATTTTAGAGAGGAGGACTGTGCAGGCAAGCCTCTGTTCCTTTCAAGGCTCCGTAAAACACAGCTGTGTTCTTCAGAAAGAACACCAAAATTGCCTTCTGTTTTTGGTATGATGCTGGAAAAGTGTTCCTTCTGTAAAAAAGGGGTAAGCAGTTTCTGCTTTTACATTTTTGCCTTGGTGGTTATAGACGCTGTAAGTAAATCCAGCATAGCTTAAGGGAGTGTAAGCGGCATTCACTCTAGAACTAGTGTCTGGGTTTCTCGTTTCTATTAAAGGTACCTCTTTCACACTTCGTTGCTCATCTCCTCACTTTCAGGTTTTATTTCCCTTTCAGGAATGTATCAAACCTGTAAAAGTGGAAAAAAAGCCTGGAAAAGCAGCAGCTAAGATAAGAATTGAAGCAGATGGAAGCTATTTTCAGATCAATCAGGTATGTGTGATTTTTCTTCTTTGTTGTATAAAATGTCCAGAAAACATGAGTGTATTGTTAAGTATTTGAACAGTGTACAGCTATTTAATGCCTCAGAGAGGAGCAAGATGTTAGAAAAGTGTCGCTGTTGCTGTCAGCGTTCTTATATCTTTTTTCTGAAGTCCAACATTTTAGTTACGTGGTTTTATAGCAGTAATTCCAATTTTGTGTTGATCTTTTATGCTCTGAAACACTGACATCAATTAGCGATGATTTTCAACATAAGAGCAGATAAGCTGAGAAGTCTCTTTTGCCATCAATACTTAAGTATTAGCAATTCCTAGAATATTTGAGACAATGTATTTTCTTACTGCGTTATGTCATACAGTGGAATGCTCACTCACAGAGAGATTCAAATAGATACTCTTAAATTTTGCTCTGATTTTTTAAATAATATTTCAAATTATTTGTTAAAAAGCCTACAGAATACGTAAGCCTCCTGCTTACAAAATTAATGACCAGTTTTGGAGAATTATTTTCCTGATACACAGAAAAGGTTAGCATTTCTTAGTTAACCAAGCTAGGAATTCATCTGGAAACGGTACTTTTAACTTTAAGCGGATGATGACCTTTAAAAAAGGGGGATACAGCACTTCCAAAGAAGTCTGGTTTCTTTATTTTAAAATTTTAGTTTAGTAGTACCTAATTGCTCAGTCTATTTCTGAGTTTGTTGAGAAGTAAAGTTTAAGAGGAGAATCTCATGGGAAAACTGACTTATTCAGGTCAAATATTATGAAAAATATTTCCTTCCACACACTGTCCTTGATATGCTGCCATACACTTCTCCCATGAGTGTCCGTGTAAGTTTTGTGCACAGAAAGATTGCAGAACACTCAGTATCAATTAAAAATGTTAGTAGTTTGTAGCTTGTAGTCTGGTTACACAATCTGTTTAGAAGGAGTGAAATTCAAGTTCCTGTGAAGAAACAGCTCCAATACTATTCAATAACATGAGCAGCATCTGATAGAGGTGACAGAGCTGGTATGCTTTCTCCAGCGTGCTGTTCGATGCACACTGGAGACTGGTGCTTCAAAGCTTAGGATCTCTGTGGTCTTCAGTCTTCGGCCACTCACAAGTTGCAAAAATGAGCAAGATAGACCCTTTTGCTTTTGGGAAAGTATAATCAATGTTTCAGAGCAATATCAGCCCACCAGATAGCACAAATAATTGTGGCCTGAACAAGTGTTCTGTATTTGGTGAAAGTTATGTTCTTGGTCTTGCTAAAATTTTCCTCCAAATAATCCTACGAAAAGCAGCAAACTTCAAAGATACTTGTGTTTCTCCTCATTTTACTAAATAGAAAAGATACTTTTTTTAAAGATTATAAACCGAGAGCATAAAAAGGGCAACATCTTTGTTACTAAGTATAGTAAAGGTGGGAAAACTGCTACCTAGTTCTACACTGTGATCAGAACTGAGTCTAATCTGTTCCTTTCTAGGATGGAGGAGCACAAAAACTCGAAAAGGCTAAAATTACTCTCAACGACTGTTTAGCTTGTAGTGGCTGCATTACATCAGCAGAGAGTGTTTTAATCACTCAACAGAGCCACGAAGAGCTATGCAAAATGCTAACTTTTAACAAGGTAGGTGACAAGTCATGGCTGCAGAGTTTGAAAATCTTAGTAGGTTGGTGTGATGCATCTGCAGAAACATGCGTGGTAACAGAGCACATAAAAATTAGTTTCAGAGATCTGAAGGATCCAAGGACATTCTCAGTGCACTGTTGTGTTTTGCTGATTTTTAGAAGGTAATGATGGGTTTGGAAAGGACCTTTAATGTAGTAAGTTACTGACTTCAGAGTTAAGCTGGGAGATACTTTCTGATGTTCTAGTGTGCTAAAAGTTCTGCATGTGCCATATTAATATTGTCTGAACAGTGTTGTTGTCTCTTTGTTTTTTTCACAGACTGCTGCTCCCAATGAACAGAAATTGGTGGTGGTTTCTGTTTCACCACAATCCAGAGCTTCACTAGCTGCAAGATGTAAAATGGATGTTCTGGAAACAGCAAAGAAGTTGACCGCGTTCTTAAAGAGTTTAGGTAAGTGTGGTATTGCGTTCTGTTAATCACAGAGGGGACTGCTGGGGTGTATGTTATGGGTAACTGTTATGGGCGCACAAGGTTGATGTGATTTAAACTCCCCATGGACTCATAATGTTTCATAATTGTCATTAGCTAAAATGCAAACTGTCTGCAACTTCAGTCACATAATAAACTTGGAGTGATGGAAGGAAGGAACTTTACATTTTAGATTTGAAGACCTCCTATCACTTTTGCTCATCTTACTGTGCCGACATGCTGAGGAGGAAGGTTCACTCTCAACTGCAGAGGTTGATACCTGTAAATAAGATGTCCAGTTTCAATCTGGTTTGGCTGGAGGCTTTTTGTTGTAGTTTGCCGTATCTTTCTTGTGAATTTTAACACAGATACTGTACTGCCTAGGTGTGCACTACGTGTTTGATACAACTTTCTCAAGAAACTTCAGCCTATTGGAGAGTCAACAAGAGTTTGTAAAACGCTTTCGGAAGCAATCTGAAGACAAAAAGGCTTTGCCAATGCTAGCTTCTGCCTGTCCAGGTATGGTATTAGATTAGTTACGGAAATAATAAAATGGCATACTAATAGTACACTAGGAAAAAAAGAATCAAAAAGCTAGTCAGAAAAGTTGAAATGGACAAATGTCTTCACAATGCAAAGAGATCTCTGTGTTAATAGCAGTAGTCATCTATACAGTTACCTAATGATCTCTAAAACGAATTTTGTGTTACACTTCCTTTGCTTCTTTTGCTGAAGTGAGGCTGAAAATGGTTATTAATGGGTACTAAGCCTGGGGTTGGGGGAAGGGTAAGCAGGGCAAAGCGATGCTTGTTATTTTTTTAATTTAATTTGCTAATCACACTGTTATCAGGTTGGATCTGCTATGCAGAGAAAACCCATGGCAGTTTCATCATTCCTTATATCAGTACCACCAAGTCTCCACAGCAGGTCATGGGCTCCTTGATTAAGAGCCATTTTGCAAAACAGCAGGTAAGGGTCTGAAGTATACTGTGCTTAATGGCAAACGGCTAAAATTTAACACTTTAAGCTGAGGTTTTTTTATTTTGCTACATGTTATACATTAGAGTTTAAAGGTAAAAATTATCCTGCAGAAGCCAGCAAAGGCAGCATCTTTCTCACTTCCATTTTATCTAATTAGAAGTTAGCAACTAGGGCAGTAACTCTAAGCGCATGCTGCACAGACTACTTAAAACCTCTGCATGTTATTTGGGAAGGCTAGAGAAACTTATTCTTCAGTGTCTTTGTGCTTCCATCTTGTCTGCGTGTGGTATTTTCATGTTGTTTAAAGTTCATGAATAGCTTAAAATAAATCATCCTAAGACAAAACTTCAGTCAGTGCATACGTGCAGTTCATGTCTTGTCTAAAAATTACTTGCTCGTTCCCAACTTAATGTTCTGTCTCAGTTTGACTTAGTTCTGTTGTCAGTCTCTAACCTTTGGAATCTTTCCAAATGTAAATTTGATATTTAGAGACTAGAGTTATGCTAATAGCCTAGATTTGTCCAGTAAGAAACTTAAGCACCACTTCTGATTGTATGATTTATTGTCCATTAACGAGCAGTGGTTTAACACTTGCATTAAGTAAATGCTGACATCTGCATACTTCTTACAAAAATTGGCAGCTGCTGAGAATATTTGGCACAAGATGCTGAAACAATGGCCTTGAGTCAATGACTTGTTTCCTTGGCCTGTACTTATTTCTTGGATGGTCATGAGGTTTTTGTCTGACACCAGATCATTTCTTAGTTGCCAGTGCAGGGGCTGGGTTTTAGTAGTGTGGAGAAAGCATATTCTCTAACGGCTTAATTAGGAATTCACTTCACTAAGTGGCTTTGGATCATCTGCACTAGCAAAAGGAAGGGGGGGCAAACCTGTGAAAGACCACCCTGCTGACACTTGTTACCTATATATAAATGTGCATGTCTGTATAT